CAAGTGGTGGAAGCGTGCCTTTTTTCTTTCTTTTTGATGCAGCTGTAGTCCAGCTACACGTTATACCGCCAGCAACAACATCAACAAGGTGGCACTCTGACGCACGAGCAGTTCAGAATCGAGCTAGCTAAAGACCTCCTTGCTGCTGCTAACAGCACGTCACAGGCCCCACCTACTTCTCCCTCTTCTTCGTCACGTGGACACAGACAAGAGGTACTCAATCCTCAGTGTCGCCTGCACGAACGACATTTTCCTGGCCAACTCTGAAGACAGCGACAGGAAAGCAGATCCAGCACGACTGCAACGTTTGCAGCAAACGTAAGGGCAGAGGGAGGAAAACAACGTTCTGCTGCAAACAGTGCCAGCTCCCGATGTGTGTGGTGTCGTGCTTTGAACTGTACCACACAAAAGTAGACCCACAACGTTACCTGTAGTAGTAATATGTAACCCCTGCATTACCTGTAGTCTATATGAAAGACCTACCGCTTGCAGGGGGCGTGTCTCCTTGCTTTGGATACGACTCTTCGGCAGGTAAGCTGGTCAGTGAATCAGGCTGAGAGACTGGTAGAGCGCTAGCAGACGTTAGCAAGTTTTAGGAGAAAAGGCTATTTGTTGTCATGGTTGTCATGGAAACGATGTAATACGCGTGCGCACCAAGTTTCACCTCCATGTGTGCTACAGTTAGGAAGTTTGAGGAGTGAAGAAGTAATTTTAAAGAAAAGTGCCTGAGGCTATTTGTTGAAGTAAAGTGCATGAGGCCTTTTGTTGTTGTAGTTGTCATGGAAACGATGTTACACACATGCGTACCAAGTTTCATCTCCATGTGTGATACCGTTAGCGAGTTTGAGGAGTGAAGAAGTAATTTTAAAGAAAAGTGCCTGAGGCTATTTGTTGTTGTGGTCGTCATGGAAACGATGTTACACACATGCGTACCAAGTTTCATCTCCATGCGTGGTACCGTTAGCGAGTTTGAGGAGTGAAGAAGTAATTTTAAAGAATGTGCCTGAGGCTATCTGTTGTTGTTGTCGTCATGGAAACGATATAATACACATGCGCATCAAGTTTCACCTCCATGCGTGCTACAATTAGCAAGTTTGAGGAGTGAAGAAGTGGTGTTAAAGAAAATGCCTGAGGCTTTTTTCAAACAAAATGTGGTCGTCATGGAAATGATATAGTAGGCATATGTACCAAGTTTCATCTCTATGTGTGCTACCATTGCAGAGTTTGAGGAGTGAAGAAGTAAATTTAAAGAAGAGTGCCTGAGGCTATTTGTTGTTGTTTACAAACATGTATTGTTGTGATTTTGATGTTGGTAATTGAATACATTATGTCTACAATGTTTCGTTCACATAGCTCTTACCATTTGTGAGTTATACTGACACATGCGATCCCATTATAATGTATTGCCTGGGGCTATTTGTTGTTGTTTACAAAGAAATAAGTATGACCAGTCTCTTCGGGTCACTGATATCACAAAATTTCATTACTATATGTTATTACTAAGTACGGTAGTACTTAGTATACAAGTACATTAAAAATGCTGCGAATTTAAAAAAGAGGCATATAGGGATGGTATAAAAAGAAAGGGAGACAAGATAGGGATGGGATATGTACATGAAGCATGGTTAATGAACAGATTTGAGTACGCTGACACCCCCAACCCCATCACACAATCCCTATATTGTTGCCTGGTGTGCTACTCTTATAGGGGCTAAAGGTTACTAAAAGCAAGCATTCTTTCACCGTGTCCCTGTTTGTTTTTATACGGCCCAATTGCCTCTTAAACTCCACTTGGACTCTATAACGGTGTTGGTTACTCAGTAGTGTATTGTAAGTTCTGAGTATTGTATTGGTGAATGTTTAATACTTCACCTAGGCAACAATATAGGGATTGTGTGATGGGGTTGGGGGTGTCAGCGTACTCAAATCTGTTCATTACCCATGTTTCATGTATCCCATCCCTATCTTGTCTCCATTTCATTTTATACCATCCCTATATACCTCTGTTTTTATATTCGCAGGATTTTTAATTTACTTGTCTCCACTCATTTTTATATACTACTACGTATTATCTCAGTGGAAAAGCCCCTATAAAAATTACTATGCATGTTGTCGTCATGGAAATGATGTGCATACCATCTTTCATCTCCATGTGCTGCTGTTAGCAAGTTTGAGGAGTGAAGAAGAAATTTTAAAGGAAAGTGCCTGAGGCTAGTTGTTGTTGTTTACAAACATGTATCGTTGTGATTTTGATGTTGGGAATTGAATACATTATAGTGCCACAAAGCATAAACTGCCAAAAATATAAATATTCATACGTAGCGTAGGAAGCGTTTTTTCCCCTAGCAACAATTCAGTATTACTTTTGCTGCATCATGCGCTTTCGTATAAAAGACAAATTGCCTTGTTTGGTGATGTTCGCGTCGTTGCTATGGACAGACCAATCAGATGGCAGATCTAGCGTCACGGTTTCTAATTAACGCACACCCCAGTTCGCTGCCGTTGAGTGATTGCGTTGCGCCGTCTGGGGGTGCCGTCAGCGCATAGAGAAAGAATATGCCCTGGCCTTCTAAGCGAAAACGACAGCTTGAAAACGCTCGACATACCAAGCGCCAGAAGCAGCAACCTGGAAATCCAACGGAAGAGCGGCAAGATCGTGAGGCTGAAGGTGATGTGCTCAACAGGGAAGATCGCGAGCCTGAACCTGATTTGTCCGACCGGGACGGGGAGAATCCTGAGCCTGAAGGTGATGTACCTGACGGGGCAGATCCTGAGCTTGAAAGTGACGGTGTTGTGAACGACGGGGAGGTTCCTGAGACAGAAGGTGAAGTGCCCGACAGGGATGTTATGGGCGATTATGCTAGAGATTGGGTGAATGGTTTGGACAGAGATGACTTAAGGGCCCTGTCTGTTCTTTTGCACTATCTTCTGGTGTGTCTCTTGCAACTGGGAGCAACCGATGCCTCGAAATTGATTGCTGATGTAGTTGGGAAGTGTGAGAGGACAATTCGTGACTGGAGGGCTACGTTTATTGCTAATAAGGGATCATTTCCGGACACTATGCAGGGTAGATACCAAAGAACCGGTGTCCTCTGGCATAACGAAGAATTGAACGAACTGGCCACCAGATATGTACGAGAGAAACGTGTTGTCAAGGGGAAACCAAATTTGAATCTGCAATCATTCACAGTTTGGGTGAACACTGTGCTTTTACCCAATCATGCACTTGACCCTGGTTTTCCATGAAAGATAAGCTGTGAAACTGCTAGGAAATGGTTACACAAACTAGGATTCAGTGTGATTGATGCCAAAAAAGGAACTTACGTGGATGGCCATGAGCGATCAGATGTGGTGGAATATCGTGCACAGTTTCTCAGGAAGATGGTAGCATTAGCATTCCTCAATCGGGAGAACGCCCCAACTCCCGAAGCCAAACTGGCACTTCCAGAGGATCTAGACACTCCACCAGCTGAAGTTCTTGCCAAGACCATAGTGCTGTTCCATGACGAATCCACCTTCCAGGCCAACGACTGTGAACGTACTCGGTGGGGCACCAAGAACGATCACATGCTTGTTCCAAAGAGCAGGGGAGCGGGAATAATGATCTCAGATTTCATCTCTGAGGAAGATGGGTATCTCCGCCTGACTGATGAAGAATTTGCTGCTGGTTGCAAAAAGTATCCCCGACTGAAACAGTTTGCCAGGGGGTCTATTGAGTATGGGGAGAACCGCGACGGTTATTGGACTTCGGAGCGCTTTCTCGAGCAACTCAAGGACTCTGTCCAAATTGTTGAGTGGAAGTATCCCCGTGAACAAGGTTACAAAGTCACTTGGATATTTGACCATTCAAGCTGTCATGGAGCGTACGCAGACGATGCTCTTCTGGCGAACCGGATGAATGCAAAACCCGGTGGAAAACAAGCGAAGTTACGAGACACTGTGTGGGAGGAAAAAGTCCAGCGAATGGTATTCAATGTTGGTGTACCTAAGGGACTCATTCAAGTTTTAAAGGAAAGAGGAAGATATCGTAATGGAATGAAATTGAATGAGATGAGAGCGGAGATATCGGGACACCCAGACTTTAAAAACGAAAAGACCAAGATCGAGCACTTTCTCAATGGAAAGGTTATGGCTGCATTTTCCTACCCAAGTTCCATTGCGAACTGAACGCAATCGAACGATGCTGGGGGCAGGCCAAGCGTTACACACGTGCTCATTGTAATTACACAATTGCTGGTCTCCGGAAGAATGTGCCACACGGTCTGGATTACGTTACAGTTGATAACATCAGGAATTAGTCAAGGCACTACATGTTCGGCTATTTACAGGGTGTTGCAGGTGGCAGGAGGGCTGGGATGAGGCCCTGCGTTGCACTTCTACGTTGTCAGGCAACAACTCCGCCATATCGACGAATTCCCCCGCCAGATCTTAGCGACCAGCTTGTGCGGGATTGGAGGCAGGCCTTCGCTTAAGATGAAGGGCCTGCTCACGCCCGACTTGGGCTCGACCACGACCTGGTCCACCGACTTCGCGCCTGCAGAGGGCGTCGCTCCCTCTGGGGCTGCCGTTGACCCACCCACAACACTAAGTCCCAATCCGGCAACACTCTCGGCACCTGGCATCTCACCCAGACCGACCAGGTGGCAACTTGAGGAGTTGGTTAAAAAAATGAAACAAATTTACAAGTTGCATCGGAAAGTTGGAGTTGATGAGTGAAATTTTATAATTGATTTTTTTTACTTTTCTGTAACTTTCTTGCATATAACATTAGTAGTATGTTTTGTAGCGAGATCTTATTGGTTGTGTTTTATGAAGATTTTTTAGAGTTTTCATGAATATTAATTAGAATAAAATCAGCAACAACAAAATTGCAACAAATGACTCTGTAGAAGGATTGTCCTACCTACCATGAAAAAGGGAAAAATCATAAACTATGGCTACAGTGCGTTCCTCTCCCAGTGAAGTTAAAAATAGTATCACCGAGAGGGAATTAGGTAATATGATATCACTTGCTAAAAAAACGATTTTCTTCCAGTCCAGATCCACAGTGCTGCTTAGTATATAGTAGTAGTTGACATAGTCCGTCACACCAGCCCCACCTTCCTCCTGCAAGCGGTAAAAATATTCATAGACTACCGCAATTTGGCAGACTATGGCTTGTGGCACTATATGGAATCTTCAGCTCATCTGATGCGTCGCATCCATCGAACCGACAAGAGAACTCTCACCTAAAAAGGAACCCCCCTCCATTTTCAATGGTCTGGAAGGAGGGTGAGTACACGATCGAGTTACGAGACAATGCAGAGTCATGTTCTCTTTCCACACCCCAACGAGTGGCAATCCCCATTCTCAACTGCGTACGCCAAGAGTTACAGAGGATATAAGGGGCTAATCAAAGACTTGCTCAGGGAGTTGCTGCACAAAGACCCAACCCTCTTCAGGGCTGGTCGGGCCGACGCGACCGAACCTGCGACCGAGAGAGCAGAGAATACCGGTAAGTTTTCCCGACTTGTTTCCTGGGTTCCCAGTCATCATTTGTCGGTTAGAGAGTCGGTCGGCAGCCGCTTCTCCTCCGCATTCACGGCCACGTGGATAATGTGGGCGGGAACGGCAGAGGCAGAGCCTCCGCGAACAGTCGCGGGGCGCGGGTCAGTTGGCAGTGGCGGGTCGCAGTTCGGGCCAGGATTACCGTGGTCGCTGTTCTTCCCCTGCAGGGGTCGGTCTGGGTGAGATGCCAGGTGCCGAGAGTGTTGCCGGATTGGGACTTAGTGTTGTGGGTGGGTCAACGGCAGCCCCAGAGGGAGCGACGCCCTCTGCAGGCGCGAAGTCGGTGGACCAGGTCGTGGTCGAGCCCAAGTCGGGCGTGAGCAGGCCCTTCATCTTAAGCGAAGGCCTGCCTCCAATCCCGCACAAGCTGGTCGCTAAGATCTGGCGGGGGAATTCGTCGATATGGCGGAGTTGTTGCCTGACAACGTAGAAGTGCAACGCAGGGCCTCATCCCAGCCCCTGTCCCAGAACTCGTCGGCGTCTTCGCCACAGTCCAAGAGTCGCAGGGAAATCCCAGATTTGCTGAGCTGGGTCCAGTGCTTCGGCACGTACATGGCGGTGTTGACCAGCAAATTTCCGGGGAAGTTGAAGCATCTCCTGGCCTACCAGACATTGATTATCCGCGAAGCTCGGCGGTGTGGTGGCAAGGGTTAGTTGGCTTATCACTCTTACTTCCGACAACAGGCGGTCGGAGACGGCTCCGTGGACTGGTCCAAACTTAACCAGTCGCTTTATGCCGTAACCTTTATTGCTCAAGGCGAGCGAGTGAAGGCTGGGTGCTGCACCCTCTGTCTGGAGAGCGATCACCCAAACGAGCTGTGTGCATTGTATGCCCCACCCATTAAGTCCTCAAATTTCGCGAGAAGGGATCGGGCTCCGACAGACTCGAGGGAGCAGAGTCGGAGCAAACGTCCTCCGTGTTTTGCCTGGAATCAAGGAGACTGTTGTTTTCAGTCTTGCAAATACCGCCATGTGTGCGTGAACTCTGCGGATGATCACAGAATTACCCAGTGTTAACTCTACGTGAACACAGCAAGACACCTCGGGAGCCCAGGACCCGGGCTCTGAATGACAGCAACTGAGGCGGTGGCTGGCCAGAGCGGAGGCCAATGGAGCCTTTCCATAATGCTGGACATTAGTGACATGTTATTATGGTGTTGTGTTGGTTATCATGATGACTTTGGGGCACATGTGGGGGGTGCCTGTAGCCAAGTGCAGATAATTACCTGGTGATTCCACGCAGGGGCGGGGTCGTGCTGCAGTTGTGTTCTGGCGGGGGACAGGACAGTATCGGCGGACGGGTCTTACATGTACATGGACGACCTGAGCAGGATTGACACCGCCCAAAAGAATTCCGCCGGGTGTGGACATGGTGAACACTCCACTGCGGTGGTCGGAGTGGGAGAGGGAGCTGGCTAGTCACTCCGACCTCAAGTTCTCAAGCTATATCGCCGAGGGGGTCAGAGAAGGTTTTCGTGTCGGCTTTGACCATTCTGTCAACCTTGCAGGAGGTCGCCCCTCTCCCAATATGCGTTCTGCCATTGACCACCCAGACCCGATTGACCAGTATGTAACGGAGGAGCTGCATGCAGGCCGGATGCTGCGGCTGCCACCGGGCACAGTGGGGATCCATGTGAGCCATTTTGGGGTAATCCCAAAGCCACACCAACGAGGGAAGTGGCGTCTCATCACAGACCTATCGTCACCAAAAGGGTGGAGTGTGAACGACGGTGTAGCACCATCTCTGTGCTCTGCCTCGTACGCCTCCGTGGACGATGCAGTAAGATGCATCTTGTCGTTGGGGGTGGGAGCGCTATTGGCAAAGTTTGACATGGCGAGTGCCTATCGCACCGTCCCGGTTCACCCAGTGGACAGAATGCTGCTCAGGATGCGGTGGCGGGAGACCTGCTGGTGGACGGCGCACTCCCGTTTAGGCTGAGGTCCGCGCCGAAGATATTCACTGCCGTGGTGGACGCTCTGTTGTGGGGGCACGGGGTTATACACAATATGCATTATCTGTATGACTTCCTGATTTTAGGCCCCCCTAACACAAGGTCCTGTCACCAGGACCTCTCTACCAGCTTGGATCTCTGCGATCGGTTGGGATTTCCAATTGCTAGGCACAAGCTGGTGGATCCATCCGCCTTACTGTCGTTTTTAGGGATACAAGTCGACACTGTCTCCGGCACCCTCAGTCTCCCTCCAGAAAAGCTAGCTCGGCTGGTGACAGGGAGTTGGAGAGGACGGAAGTGTTGTCGTAAGTGGGAGCTTCTCTCCACAATCAGTCAGCTCCAGCGGCTGGACGTTCCTACGTTGGATGATTGACCTGTCCTCCTCTGTGATTGGTTATGATCATTGGGTGTGGTTGAACTGCGGTTTCCGGTCAGACCTCCTGTGGTGGGAGCTGTTTCTGGAGCGGTGAAATGGAGTGGCCCTCTGTATGAGCCTCGTCACACGCGTCGGGAGGGCTTCCATCACGTCGCGACGCATCCGCAACAACCCACCTGCAAGAACACCTGTGCAAACTAGCTGGGCGGCCATACACATGCACACATGGCGCGAGCGTTGCCATGTTCCTTTGACTTCGCCTACTAAGGAAAGGGTCTGGGGACGAGACTAGGGATGGCCGTACCTACAGTACGCATGCGTTGCTATGTTGCTTTGACATTGCAGCTTGCTGCTCTGTAAGTGCAACTTGCCTCGGGATAACTGTACGGAGACTCACCAGCCTAGCGAGAAATACTAAACTCAGTGAAGGCCAATTCCCAACCCTCCCTCCTGCCTCAGGAGTTGGTGGAGGCTCTGGTGCTACAGCAACCGGATTGGACATCCGAGATTTGGAGGTCTGCTCTGCATTCTACTTTTCGCACGGATTAGCGGGATCCTTCCAGCGTACGTACAGGTCTGGGGAGAGGCGTTTTCTACGCGTCTGTGTTTCATGTCATGTCACTCCGTTACCGGCCTCCGAGGACATTCTATGCAAGTTTGTGTCTCATCTCGCAGAAGCACCATACCATCAAGACTTATTTATCAGGCGTGCAGTATTGTCACATTACGTCGGGTTTTCCTGACCCGTTACGGAATTCGCATATGCCACGACTCGACTATACCCTTAGAGGCGTGAAGCGGGTCCAGGCCCAGAAAGGCGGGACCCAGCCGTCGCGCCTGCCGATTACCCCATTGCTCCTACGGCTAATGAAAGGCGTGTGGGCCCCTTCCGCGGGACAGGACGAGAAGATGATATGGGCGGCCTGTTGCATGGCCTTCTTCGGCTTCCTGCGGATCGGGGAGATGACGGTTCCGGACGGGAGCAGTTTTGATCCGAGTGTGCACCTGGGAGTCAGCGACATCACTGTCGATAACGCGAAGTCTCCATCACTTCTGCGCATTATGATAAAACAGTCAAAAACGGACTCCTTCCGCAAAGGGATGGAGCTGTATATCGGTCGTGCCAACTCGCATTTGTGTGCCCCGTAGCCGCGGTCCTCAGTTATTTGACCTGTAGGGGCTCGGGTCCGGGTCCACTTTTCGTGCTGGAGGGCGGCCAGGGGCTGACGCGGAGTCGTTTTGTATCGTTGGTGAGGTAGGCACTAGACAAAGTTGGCGTAGACCAGGCGGCCTATTGTGGGCATAGTTTTCGTATCGGGGCCGTGACGACGGTAGCAGCACATGGCATCGAAGACAGCGTGATAAAAACACTGGGGAGATGGGAAAGTCTCGCGTACTTGCAATACGTCCGTATCCCGAGGAGGCAGCTACTGGGGTACTCCAGCCTACTTGGGACTAGGGAGTCGAACACACCTTCGCGGTAGCAACTCCCCTGGTGAACCTAGGCTCCGTGTAGTGTTCTGTTGTTTTGTTCAACATATTTCGGTTTCAATTTGTTTTTAGTGTGTGTGTGGGTGTGGTGTGTGGGTGTGGTCCGGGAGAGTTTCTTTGGGGGAGGGGCCCCTTCGGTCCCTCTTTGGGCAGGGCTGGTAGGCATCCTGGCGTTGCCAGTCGCCTTCTCCAGCGCTCCTCCAACTCGGAACTCCCCCTTGTCGGGATGCTTCCGGGAGGGCGGGGCCTCGCCTTCCCGAACACAATTGCCACTCTCCACACCCATTAAGGGTGGGCTCTCGTTGGATGCTGGTACAAAGCCCCGGTAAGCAGTTAAATATGGTTTAAATGCCTGCCCTTTAGACCAAGTTAACTGCGGCGCGGGCTGGTCAAGGCGGCGCGCATGCGCGGGTCACTTCGGCACGAGGGAGACGTTAGTGCAGTGAACTCGACATCAGCAGCGGACTGGTCTTCTTTTTCTTTCTTTTCTTCTTTCTCTGGCATATCATGCCGTGAACGTGTCGGACAGGGCTGGCGGCGTCCCGGCATTGCCGATCGCATTCTCCAGCGCTTCTCCCCCTCGGAACTCCCCCTTGTCGGGATGCTTCCGGGAAGGTGGGGCCTCGCCTTCCCGAACACAACTGCCACTCTCCACACCCATTAAGGGTGGGCTCTCGTCGGATGCTGGTACAAAGCCCTGGTAAGCAGTTAAGGAGGAGTTGGGAGTTATAGCCAAAGTCCGGAGTGGTGCTCCAGCATGGTGGTGGTACCAAAGGGTAACTCAAAAGTCCGGATATGTGTTGACCTCACCTACATCTCAAAAGCCATGACTTCGACCGAGAGGAGATATGCCCAAATTTAAAAGGAGGCATTGGCCTTCACATGGGCCTGTGAGAGATTATCCGACTATCTGGTGGGCATGAGTTTCCGTATCCAGACAGATCACAAACCTCTAGTGCCTCTGTTCAGCTCAAAAAACCTGGAGGAACTCCCATTGCGAGTACAGAGGTTCCGAATGAGGATGATGTGTTTCCAGTTCACGATAAGCCACGTCCCGGGGAAGGAGCTAACCATTGCCGATGCTCTTTCCCGAGCTCCAGTTTGTACACACAGTGAGAGAGACGAGCTGCTTCATATCGAAACAACAGCCTATGTGGACTTTGCGATTCGTCACCAGATTGTGGAGTACTGCCGGTCAGGCTGGCCGGAGAAGTCATCTCTTCCGCCGGAACTGAAGCCCTACTATCCAGTGGCTGCAGAGCTGACTGTACAGAACGGTCTCATACTCTGAGGTGGACGGATGGACATACCACCTCCGATGAGAAAGGACATACTACGCAAGATCCACACTGGTCACCAGGGGATCACAAAGTGCTACGAGAGGGCCAGACAGTCGGTTTGGTGGCTGGGACTCTCAAAGCAGTTGGAGGGGCTCGTTCACTCATGTGAAGACTGTCTAAGAGCTCAGAGACAGAGACCCCAACCTCTCAGTCCTACTCCACTACCTGACCTTCCATGGCAGAAAGTAGCCAGCGATCTTTTTGAATGAAATCAGGCTGTATATATACCTGCTAGTCGTGAACTACTTCTCCAGGTATATTGAAATAGCTCGCCTCCAACGACCAACCACTACTGAAGTGGTCACCCATCTCAAAAGCATATTCGCCAGACATGGGTTCCAGAGACATTGGTCTGTGATAACGGACAACAATATGCCTCCAGAGAGTTCAGCGAGTTTGCAAAAGACTATGAGTTTCGACACATCACAAGTAGTCCATACTACCCACAGGCGAATGGGTAGGCAGAGAGGGCAAACACATACTCAAAGAGGATGGCAATCCCTACAAAGCCCTTCTGGCGTATCGGTCTACTTCATGGGAAGAATCCTCCGTACTTAAGTTCCAACAACACGTGAACAGCGGAGACCACGGATCCTGGATCCCGGATATCGGACCTCAGAGCAGTGAGAAGACGTGACAAAAAGAGTTGTACCACAGAAGCCCTAGAAATCAAAGGCACCACACGCAGTGTATGCGCACTAAGACAACTCATTAGTATGCATGCCATGGTGTATGGTGTGCTGACTCAGCCATACACTCACATGGTGGTGTATGAGCTCTCATAGACCATGGCATGCATACTAATAAGTTGTCTTAGTGCGCATTCCTGTGGTACAAATTGGTTACACTACACCCACTCGACGGTTTAGTGCATACACTAACCTATATTAAGACACGTCAGAAAACAGACTTTGACTCTCGCCATGGGGCCAGACAGCTGCCACCTCTGCAACCGGGAGATCGAGTCTGGATATCTCGGAAACACAAACGGAGGGAGAAGTCCAGAGAGAGGTAGCACCTCAATCATATGAAGTGGAACAAGATGAAGGTTCCCTCCGTCGGAACTGGAGAGATCTCATTCGTTTACCGAGCTCAGGGGGAAGACCAGTCTGAGTCTAGTGACTATGTTCAACAATCCGACTCGAACGTATCGACCTCCAACGAATCGAACTCAACCGAATCGAATTCGAACGCACAACCTACGTTACACCAGTGTAGCCGTACCTCCCAACCACCCGAACAGCTTGACCCTAGCTGGTCTAACTGAAACTGAACACTGGTATCTTATGTGTATGCATGTGCATGACTAAAGAAGGGGAGATGTAGTATGAGTATACATTGCGTATGTATGTATGTCTGTATTTGTGCGCATGTGCAGATAGTCAATATAAGTGTATGTGCGAGGGTGATTTGGAGTTTTTGTGCTAATCTCGTGTCTGCCTGCCGGGCTAGCCATCGAACACTACTACAAACACCACACATGTGTACCACAAGTTTTTGTTTTTGTGAATGTAGGCTACAAATACTTAATTTAAAGGGTTTACTGGAAAATAGGCCAATGTGAAGAGGATCAACATACAACTGCTAATACGTACATATGTGGGGCAAAACACTAACATGAAGACACGAAAGTCACACATTTTTGGCTAGAGAGCGCGAGCAGTTTTTTATGCGTGTCTTTAGAATCACGTAAATACAACCTCACTGTATGTGCAGCGTCCGTCCCCGCACACTCGCAGGATATACCGCATTCATAGGACTTGCTTCGATCACAAATAATAGGACCACATGGATCACGTGATTAACTATCAGTGCATTTCTCCTGCATTAAAGCTCTGGGTGGTAACTGTATGAGTCGATGCTTATGGATAAACACATCTAAAACAGTCAGACAAAAGTAGCAGACATTGGTCCATGAGACACAGAAGTGGAAATTCTTTTGCCCGACCTTCCCTTCTAAAAATGTACTAGAATGCATGTTTCCTACTGTACAAATCCTCTTACTATGTACCAGTCCAAGTATACAGCATATATCAACAGCATTTATATGTTGCAGTGCCCAGACAGGGCAGCATGAGCGCTGCAACAGATTTATTGGACGTTCCTAAGCAACCGACATGTATGGACACCTCTCACCACTGTCTGGAGTGTGAAAAATGAATGAGTACACAGTAATTAACCCTCGGCGCGCATGCGCAGCGAGGGTTACAGTACTTATTCTCTCCGTCTGTCTGTCCGTCTGTCCGTCCGTCCACGTTTTCTGCCACATCGCGCGACAAACAGGTAAAATAGCGACACCAACGTGTTCAGCGCTACACCCGCTTCATTTTGTAAAAGTGCCGCATTCAGAAGTTATGGCATGAAACCCAAGTGAACAAGCCAATATGCAAATTAGCACAGGCTTACCTCGACCGGGTCCGCTTGCTCTGTGTACCTTGGAGGCACAAGAAGTCACAACGAAGGGCGTTTATCGACTCCCGCATGCTATCTACTACTGTAGCTAGCCCGTGTCAGACTCTTCGCGAGCTACTCCGCGAGTAAACGCATACTACAAATAGCCCAGCCCATCAATTAGCTGTACCGCGCATGCGCAGTTTGCCGAGGGTTTTGCACTTTAGTGCTTTTCGTTTCATTTGGGTATATACACTTTTTATTTGGGTACCCAGTTTTCATTTGGGTGTATACACTTTTAATTTGGGTATATACCAAGTTTTTCCCAATGGGATAATACTCCAAATTTCAATCATTGTGTATTGTTTTTGTTATTCAAGGTGTTTAACGCGGCAATATTTTGTCATTATGGAAAACTTCATGATGCAATCCAAATAAAGTGTGCAAATGAAAACTGGGTACCCAAATAAAAAGTGTATATACCCAAATGAAAACTGGGTACCCAAAAAATGTGTGTACCAGAATGAGAACTGGGTACCCTAATAAAAAAAGTGTGTACTCAAATGAAAAGACCATACCCGAATAAAAACACACCATACCCAAATGAATATACGGTACACCCTAATTGAGCGACTGCACCCCATGTGTAATTTTGACACTGATCTCCCCCCATAACCTTCACGTTCCCAGAAAATTGAAGTAGCGCGTTAGTGGGTGTGGCACTGGTGTTACATAACAACATCGACAATAGCATGTTCGACTCAACTGTACCATCAACACAGGCAGACCTGCAGCAAATCTTTCCATACGAGAAAATCATCTAGCATCCCAGTACGGAGATCGTTCGCGCACTCACAGTGACAGCCGCCCGTTTCACCAGCTTCCCTGGCTTTCTCCTCTCCAGAATCCATGCATTCCTCCTACTTCATAATATTTCCACGTTTCACGCTCGGAGTTGCCGAGAAGAACGATGGACAGACGGACGGAACGACGGACGGACACACGCACACACACACACACAGACCAACTACAACAACCCTCGCTGCACATGCGCGCAGGCGAGGGTTAACTAGCAGGGTCCAGGCAGTCTCTTGGCTATTGCTCATTCACTACGTATGCGCAATAACATAGCATGCACAATAACGTAGAAGGCTGTGGTGAGGGTGAATAATCCCAGAAAATTAGCGTGGCGGCATGCCTCACTACCACCGCGCTGTGGGGAAAACCCTGTTGTGGTGGAGCTGTTGCCCCGCGCACGCCTAGGGGGACAGCAATTGCCGGTACAATTCCCCGTAACCACCGTTCATACACGTGTCGGTTGCTTAGGAACGTCCAACAAATATACACACAGACCATGCATACATGCACAAGAATCTCACAATACTGTTTCATAGGAGACAAAATTACAGCTGCACACAAGACCTACATGTCCTAGTAAGCGTTTATAACATCCATGAATGTACATGCCAAGTAGTACTTGATTATATACTGTCATACTTTTGCTAAAAAATAAATGTCTCAACAACTCGAGGTAGAAAGGCAAAGCAAGGCAAACAAGTCAACTACATGCATGAATGCTATACCATCCAACTCACCACTCAGTAGCTCAGATTTGATCTTGGCACATCTGCCATACACATCCACTGCTCCCCACAGATGGTTATTTACTGGCAGACCAGACGCTACCTTTAAATAATATGTGGAAAAGGAAGAGAGACGAGATAGGAATGTTATGTAAGGAATGGTATATATAATTATGTACACATTGTGAGCATGCTGACACTCCCCGAGCCCGTTATGCTACCTTTTTCACGTGGAGTCCATTGATGAACACATGAAGATCACCACTAGCAGTGAGAAGAAGTCCGACTGTTTGATGACGTTTGAGAAACTCGATATTAGGAAGATCCGAAGACACATTCCTCCCATTGTGCGATAATGATGTGCCCCTATAGAGCCACTCATGGGGTCCAGACCTTTGGAATAGGAGTTCAAAAGGCACCACTTGAGGTAGAGTGGCAGTCACTCCAACAGTCTGTTAGAAAATATGTAATCACATCACATAATTATCATGTACAAATAGCACTGTCACTGACTAGGAAAATTAATTAGCAACTCCCAATAATGCTGATGTTAGGTATTTACTAATGTAATCACTGAAATGCAAACCCTCGGCGAACTGTGACGCGCACGTGTAAGTAAACGCATGCGCCGTACCACTAATTGATGGGCTGGGTTTAGCTTTAGCTGTTACTCGTGGTCTCTTGCCAGCTCGCGCAGAGTCTGACGCGGGCTAACTACACTACTAGATAGCATGCGAGAGGCGATACACGCCCTGCGTTGCATCTTCTGGTGCCTCCGAGATACGCAGAGCACGCGGGTCGATCATGCCGTAGTAAGCCGTTGTGTATTTGCATATTGGCTTTTTCGCGCTCTAGCTTTGCAACGGAGCATTTTCAGAGAAAACTGTTCGAAATTTCTGACATTCATTGCCCGTTTAGTAGGTGGTATCCTTTGTGAGACGAACAAACACCCGAGAAGTGAGATTGAGAGTAACAGACACAAAGACACACAGACCCAAGTACCGTAACCCTCGCTGCGCATGCGCGCCGAGGGTTAATAATTGAGAATGAGACACATACAGTACATGTATTGTTATACACTATGAAATAGGCAACGAGGTCGCAAGGTGTACCTAACTACACAACTACTAGTATACTTTCGTATTTTAGAATAAGGAATCCTAGTGAGACATGTGACTCTAATGAATATCTTTGACACACCCACCGTTACATGCCATAGTGGCAAAGCCTTGTGGGGATGATATCTCATTAGTTCAGAACCACAAGTGCTGTGCTCGTGGCAGCCTTTATAAACCCGTGATGCCAGAGAGAGAAGTTGTGGTAAGCTCTTCTGGTGAGGGCCAACAAGCCCGAAACAGCTGTCCTGAGCTCCACATCTTCTTTCTCTTGGCATCATATGGTCTAAACAGTAATAGACACAATCCTATCCTGTCACCATAATCAATTCTAGACATGGAGAAGACCATTAGGAATTTGTCGGCTGTATGTAGTATGTACGGCAAAGCATGGAGTGTGTGTCTGTGTGTGCAGTGATCACAAACAGTTGGTCCCTCTCTCGAGAGAGAGGTAGAGTGCAGTCAGATAGACTGGTGACCATGGAAGGTCTCGGAGTGTGTCTGGAGTGACAACTGACACTAAATCTCATTCCAGACTCTTCCAATGATGAGATAGACATGCACAACAAAGGCACTTGTACATCTGCTCTACTGCAGAAACAAGCTTAGTACATGTGAGAACTTGTATATTAAAATATGTCGTAGAAACTCACATTAACTTTATTGAGGTCGTTAATATACACCACACAACAAAAATTAAGTAAGTACAACTATACACCACACGACACGGAATAGTATTCCGGACCCAACATGCAGGCTTTGCAGTCCGGTCCTGAAGATTACCACACATTACATATCCCATTGCCTCGCCCTCTCCCCAGCCCGTATTCTCTCGCCTCTGCTGGCGGCCTCCGACCTGGCACCGTTACTGGTCTCTAATCCAAACAGGTTTCCAGAATTACATCCTTGGAACTCGATGGATCGAGGATCCGTCACTTCAGAGAGAGATCATTGAGTTCATACATCGTTTACATTCTTAACGTCGCCCTCACCGAATAATTGCCTACCCAATGGGCTACTCTCCTTCAGTGGAGGTCACAAAGAAGAAGAAGAAGAAGATGTACACGAGAGTGGGACACCAGATGCCCAGCCTAGAGAACTGGGTAGTGGGTAGCTCATTACCAAGGATCTCTCCTCTACCAAATGAAAAGCACTAAAGTGCAAACCCTCGGAGAACTGTGCATGCGTGGTATTGCTAATTGATGGGCTGGCCTATTAGTATACGTTTACTCGTGATCTCCCGCTAGTAGCTCGCAGAGAGTGTGACACGGGCTAGAGCATCCGGGAGTCGATACACGCCCTTTGTTGTGACTTCTTGTGCCTCCGAGGTACACAGAGCAAGCGGTTCAGGTCGAGGTAAGCCAGCGCTAATTAGCAAATCGCTTGTTCACTTGGTTTTCACGCCACAACTTCTGAACGTGGTACTTTTACGAAAATTCCCTATTTTAAAATGAAAAGCACTAAAGTGCAAACCCTCGGCGAACTGCGCATGAGCGGTATCGCTAATGGTGGGCTGGGCTATTGGCATTTACCCGTGGTCTCCCGCTAGTAGCTCGCGAAGAATCTGACACTGGCTAGCTTGTACAGTAGTAGATAGCATGCGGAAGTCGATACACGCCCTTCACTGTGGCTTCTTGTGCCTCCAAGGTACACAGAGCAAGCGGATCAGGTAGAGGTGGAGCCAGCATATCTACACATGCGCACCGCTTAATGATGGGTTGGGCCACGGAACTCGGTCCGTGACCGTGCCAGTTTGTCGCTGTCGAACGCAGTCGTTTCAGGAAAATCGCCTAATAATTTTTCAGGTTCGCGTAGTTCTGAAGCCGTTGGTATCGCTCATTAGCCACCTCGTGGCCTGTAGTGCCAGAATAAGCGTCGACACACACAGACAGACAGACAGACAGACAGACAATGCGCGCCGAGGGTTAATAAAGCCAGTGTAGCGCTGAACCCACTGGTGTCGCTATTTTACCTATTTGTTGCGCGTGGTGGCAGAAATCGTGGTAACAGACAGCCCAAGTATATACTGTAACCCTCGCTGAGCATGCTCGCCGAAGGTTAACAACAGAGTGAAGGAGAGGATGACATTTGTCCCACAAGGCTGTCATGTTCACAATTGGTAAGCAAGGTAAAGCCCAATATACCTAGTCTTCCGAATTGCACAATACATTTTATAAACAGATGCTCGGTAATATACATACAGTAATGTAGTAACACCTTAACCGAAAATGTATTCTTCAAGTCAGGCAACATGAGCTCAAAAGACATGATCACTAATATTAGATGAGGATCCTGCATAGCTACACAACATAATTATGCTCATTGGAAACATAATGTTACAACTGTAGCTTTGGAATACCATCATCGTGAAGCTGCGTTTGTATGTCTAACGCACCATATTATGCTGATATAGGAGACTTGGTATATACACATCCACTCACCAGTCCACTCAACAAAGTTATGGTAGTCTCGAGGACGGTGGTCTGCCACACCTGCCCTGGAGACAGGGGATGGGCTGTGTAACAGACACACTTGTATCTCACGGAATCAGGATCCCGCCGCTGGACGATGGTGTCACTACTTGAAAACACTGCTCTCTCTCCACACTTATTTGTATTGAGTGGAGCAGGAGTGTCGATCCAGTCAGAGACGTCCGCAGCCACCGACATCTCGAGAGAGACGTGTGGGAGGTGAGGTGTTTGTAGGAGGAGGGGCTTTCCCGGAGTGATGTGCGCTAATTGGAAACTCGCAGAAACCGACACCTGATTATATGCCGACTGCATAGAGTCGATCAACGGTTGTCCAAAGACTTTTGACAACTTGTAATTCCGTTGTAGATTCATTACCCTCGGCGCGCATGTGCAGCGAGGGTATAATACGGTAGTTGGGGTCTGTGTGTCTGTTACTCTACATCTCACTTCTCCAGTGTTGTCGTTCGTCTCACAAAGGATACGACCTACTTAACGGGCAATGAAGGTCAGAAATTTGGAACATTGCAAAGCTAGAGCGCTTCCAGCATTGTAGCTATATACGGCTACTGCCATTTTTATCGCTGCGGAAAATGCGCATGCGGTTATAATCTTCTAATTAGCCCTACCACCATGGAGACTGAAGTGACAATCAGACGCAAAGTCCACTATATATGTCACAGTTGAGACTTTGAAGTATGAGAAACCTACCTCAACCCAAGCATGTACCTTGCCAGGTTTTTCAGACACCATGAGTCTGAAGTCTTCTTTTATTATCGGTGCACATTCAATTGCGTTTGAACCCCTGCTAGCTCTTGCAACAGACATGATTAGATATACATAATGTAACTGAACTGAGGAACGCGTTTGAACTGTCTATAGTGGAATGTTTGGTAATGGACAGACAGAGAGACAAACAGACATACATACATACAGACACACACGACAGTTACAGTAACTTACTGCAGTTGTCGTGTGTGTCTGTCTGTCAGTTACCAAACCATCGAGTTCAGTTACATTGTGCATATCTAGTCATGAGCCATGGCATCAATCATACAGAAGCACAGACCACTACAGCATTGTTTATTGTAGATGCACCAGTAATAGCTCCCTAAACATTCAAGATGGTGAGGAGCAGAGAGAAAAGAACAAATTAAACCAGCTTCCTTGCCAAAAATAAAATCAATTTTGCAGCTAATTATGCTGAGGCATAAACGCCATAAAAATTTAAGGGTTTGGTGGTGAGAAATGTCCTTGGTGAATCCTTGAGCCCCCTAAAGCAAGACTATAGCAGTGAATAATGGGAGGGTGGCCCCCTACTACAGTTATGGTGGTACTCAAGTGCACCTCATGCCTCGTACCTCTACCCCTGCTAAAGATGAACATGTGTTGGGAAAATTCAAACGTTTCTAGCAAAAACATTTTACATGCTACCACTTACGCCGCTTAGCAGCAGTCTCAGGCTCACGGTGATAATAGATTTGTTCATTCTGAACAAGAGCACTGCTAGGTCGAGGGAAGTAAGGCCTCTCTGTAGGTAGCTACATAGGCAGAGGAGGCCACTAACAGAGAAACTAAAGTAAAAGCCAAGGGAAGGAGAGTCAGATGCATCTTCTCTCTCTATCTTGGTGAGTCCCCTCAGTTGGTGTATGCCTCCAGAAGCTCTCTCTGCAATTTTTGCGATGCCGTTTCCTGCACTAAAACTATTTGCGGCCACATAGCATAATGTGCTCATTTCTCATTTTCTGCCTTAGAACTTCTGTTCAGATCTATATCCTCTTTGAACTGCAGCAAATGAAACTGACGAGTGGTCTTTCTCTCCTTTAGTACAATAATACAACTTGGAGAAAAAAAGCGGCACAATGTGTCAGAACATAACTCTTCTGACTTTTGGAACTCTTGTCTCTATCCATGTTGGTTACCAAATGTTGTAAATTTACACACCTCCAGAAACGTTAAGAAAACTCGCACATTTTGTTAACTTTGACAAGGTAAGCGTGTAAAATGGTGGCATATCTCATAAAACCACCCTCACCTCCTCCTCAGAAGTGGATAGTCACTCTGATGTGGCGGTCAGAGCTTTGATACTGTTTTCATCTACCCAAAAACAAAGCAAAAAGCTCCGGATTGAGTGAGACATGGCATAAATGTCTGAGCAGGCTGAAAGGCAGGCACAGAGCCTGTGCGTAGGTCTGTAAAACGGAAGAAAGAATGATCAGAATTCGTGACTGAAAGAGATATTATAAGTTAGACGCTGATTCGAGGAAACTACGCGGATTTATTATTATTATAATATTATTATCACATGCCAAAACTGAGCTCTTCAAATGAGGACCAAAAACATAACGGATGGAAAACGAATAATTTGGGCAACATTCGTATATAACATGATAAGTATAATAACCCTCGGCGCGCATGCGCATCGAGGGTACGGTAGTTGGGTCTGTCTGTGTGTCTGTTACTCTACATCTCACTTCTCGGATGTTTGTTCGTCTCACAAAGCATACCTACTTAACAGGCAATGAAGGTAAGACCTTTCGAACGGTTTTCTCTGAAAATGCTGCGTTGCAAACCTAGAGCGCAAAAGAGTCAATATGCTAATACACAACGGACAGGATGGCTTACCACGGTCTGATAAATCCGCGTTGTCTGTGTACCTCGGAGGCACCAGAAGATGCAACGCAGGGCGTGTATTGCCTGTCGCATGCTATCTAGGGATCAAGTGTAGATCACTTACACGATGTACCACGTACGATAAATATAATATAAATACAGAATATAGAAAATTCCGCTCGAACAAATGACTAGGTTGGCTCGCTCCCGCTCGCCAATCATCTGCATAGCAGAGGGCTCCTACAAAATGTGACCCAATAACAAACAGCAGATTCTGATACTTCTTCCTATAAGCCATCCAAATAAACTGCAAATTGAACTTGTGACAGAACTCCACCCTGTCTGACTCCATTTGAAACACCAAAAGGTTAAGAAAAACAATCACCCCGATGAACTCTCGTCTTCTGTAAGCTATACCAATGTATCAACAATCAAATGAATAGGAGGAAGCAAGCCACTATGTGTGACTTGGAAAAAAGTTTACCATGATCAACCAGATAAAATTGCTTTGGAGGCTTCCAACAAGCTGCCCAACACCGTAGAACCATTGAAAATGTATCTTGAGGCGATATTATTCACAAGACCTGTGCAGAGAGACGTTGAAGCGCAAGACTTAAAGCCAAACTGAAGTTGGTTAGCTACTAAACAGGTAATGTGAATACATGACATGCTCCAGGATTTTGCTTAAGCTATAATAGAAGCAAGGGAAATTGGCCGATAGTTGTCACTGATGGACAGGTTTTTACCACTTTTAGGAGGAATTGGTACCAATACACTATCGCGAAAACATTTCGACATGTACCCATGCCTTAAAATAGTTGTGAACAGATCAGCAATAATCTCTGACACAACCGGAGTTCCATACTTTAGAAGTTCAGTAGAAATACCAGAGGCATCAGACTTACGAGGCTTAAGGCGACCAATAGCTTCATCCCACACAAATATCAGCTATAGCTGTGACATTGACAGTGATGAATTAAGGCAAGAAGAGAAAAAATCACGATTTTGTTATCCTGGCTCCGTGATTGAAGTTTGACGCCATCAAGTTATTAGCAATATCATTCTCCCCACTGATCCCATCAATGATCTGAACTTTACTACCAGCTCTTTGTTTATTTAAGGATTTCACTGTTGACCATAACGAGGTTTTTTTCTTTTTAGCAAATGCAGTTGATAGTTTACGTCTCAAGATTTTATCCTGACCTCTTCCCAACCGGTGCACTTCCGACGTAAAACGGGATCTGGTATGTTTCTTGATCTGAGAAAGAACCCCAGAGGTGGAGCACCCAGCTTCCGACCATACCCTACACAAATTTAATAATTACAGTTTGCTATAAACATGATTTTTCATGAAAGCATTCCACAGCAAGAGAGAAGCATAAAGGAAAATGGTCAGACAAAATCTGTCCACATCTTAGAGAGGCGACATCAGTGACCAATGAGTAGTAAGAGGCAGAACAAGGAACATGGTCAATCCAAGAAGGAGGAAAGCCCTGGGATCCCTCATAGATGAACCCAACAGAATTCTTGAAAGGTAGATCACAGACAAACAAATTTAGATCAGAAATGAAACCAAACCAAAAGAGAGTGCCCATATAGGTCCCATTTCCCTTGCCCCCTCACAGTGCATTCGCCTTTTAGTCGGCGAGCGGGAGCGAACGGCGACCGCACGTCGTCTAACTGCGCATGCGTTCGAATTACAGCATTCGCTGCGCTCCCCCGAGGCTGTATAATTTTACCTATTTCCAATCTTCGCGGTTCCAAAGTGTAAGTTGTAAATAGGCTAGGATGGCTGGTGCAGATACAGTCATTGAGTTCTCGCTCCTGCTCGCCAAAAATGCCCTGCATTCGCCTACTAGAGATAATATATGCGTGTAAAAAACCTAGGCCTGGTCTATGGTGGCGATCACCGATTTGGCCAACGGCACTGAGGCTCGGACCAAACAAAAAAGGAAGTCGAAGGCTGGTTTGTAATAAAACGTTTCATCTAGCCATCCAGACAAAGATAAACTGCTCCTCTGACAGCTTTTAGCAAACTGTAAGTTACGTGGCCCCGCCCTTTCCGCATGCGCACATGGAAAAGACAAAGGGGTGCGTCAAGCAGAACTTCCTGGTTTACATGGCTCTTAGCAAGGTATCAAGTTGGACTTGCAGTCCGGTACTGCCGGCGAAAAGGCCGCCTGTACCCCACCTCCTCCGAGTGGAGACTCTTTCAGGGGAGAGATTCACTGTGGAGGTGAGAGAGGGGGAGTCAGTGTATGGTCTCAAGGCGCTGATCGGTGAAAGACTAGGCATAGCTCCACAGCACCAACGACTTCTATTTCGTGGTGTCCCCATTAATGACGACTGGTGCTTGAAGGACTGCCACGTGGCCAACAACTCTACCATTCTCATGGTGCGTCGAAGCAAAACGTATGAAGTGCGCATAAAGAACTGTGATAATGCAGAGAACATCAGCTGTACGGTCTGTTCAAGTAATACTGTTAGAGATTTAAAATTAAACGTTCTAAGAAAGGAAGGGATCCCAATGCACAAGCAACAACTCAGCTTTTCAGGGCACATATTAAATGACGAGAAGCCCCTTTCATTTTACTACATCACTGGGGCATCGCTGATTGAATTGAGAGTTGTCCACTTTTCTTCCGGTAAAATATTCGTGAAAACTCCAAGTGGTCAGAGTGTTGGGCTAGCAGTCAATGGTGCCGACACAGTTCAAAGTGTGAAGTGTAAGCTAGCCAAAAGAGAATAGGGATCGCGGTTGAGGAGCAGCGACTCTTGTTTGGGGGAAAGCAACTTGAGGCAGGTAGAACTCTTAGCGAGTACGGGGTTAATAACGACAGCACACTTGACTTAAGTCTCCCTCTCAGAGGAGGCATGCAGATTTACATTAGGGTGACGTCTTCTACTGCACCACACGTGACTCTGGCTAAGCTAGTTGTAGATGCTAGTGACACTGTAGAAAGTGTCAAAGAAAAGTCAATTAATGCATTAGGCAATAGGGCAGACAATGGTTCTCTGCAGCTGTATCACGATGGAAAATTTCTAGAAGACGGGAAGTCACTTCAAATGTATGACATTGATGGAGAGGCAGTTCTAGACTTAGTGTTCCCAGTTGATGAGTACATACGTGTCATTGTTGAGACAGACATTAATACTTGCATTCCAATGATTGTGAAGTCGAGTGATACTATAATGTCACTAAAACTGAAGCTTAGACAAAGAAATGGGATTTCCCCTGAGCATCAACAAATCATAGTCCCTGGAAAAAGATTCCCCGAGGATGAAATGACATTAAAACAAGGCGGTATTGTAAATAATTCAGTTGTGTATCAAGTTTACAGATTTTCATCAACAGTGCAGATTTTTGTAAGGAGTTTAGCTGGGAAAACAATGTGTGTTTCTGTTAACGAATTAAACACTACATGGGATCTTCAAGCATTAATATGCCGAGCACAAGACATTCCTCCATCTGCACAGCGTCTAATATACTCTTCGAAGCAGCTTGAGTATGGCAAAACACTAAAGTGCTATTCAATAAAAGAACATAGTTCAATGCAGTTGGCTAACCGTATGCGCGGAATGACAATTTTTGTAAAGTCTCCGACAATGATTAAACGTGTTGTTGTGGAATCAAGTAGTACTATAAGAGACGTCCGAAATAAACTAGAAAAAGACTTTTCTTCATTGCCCAAGAGTTGTCTACTAGTGTATGAAAGGACAGAGCTTGAAGATTCAAAGACGCTCAATGATTATGAAGTACCTCCTGAAAGTGTTCTGCACTTACTCCCCGCCGTCTGTCTTACGACAGGCACTGCTGAAGTCCAGCCACTGATTGAAATCCACTACAACGACCACATCCACTCCATAATATCCCGGATCAAAAACCAACTCGGGATTTCCGTACCACCTGAGGCATGTCTTAGTGTTGATGGAGAGCCACTGAGCAATTTGAAACCACTTCATGACATCATTCTTGAGGTTGAAGTGAATCTCACACTCCATTCTTCCCCTATTCCATCAGCTCCAGTCCAACTTACTGTTTCTTCTAGTCGTGGAAGCACTCTTCTCACAGCTTACTCTAGTAGCTCTACTGTGAAAGCTCTAAAGAGAATGATCAATCGAGAGAGAGGGATTCCTTGCGAATTGCAGCGAATTTTTCATCGGGGTAAAGAGCTGGATGATTCAAATTCACTGGCTTATTATGACATTGTCAGTGGCTCAGTCTTGGATTTGATAGGGGACAACACTAATGTTGAAAGTTGTGAACTAGAACAAATGCAAACAGCTAGGCTCGAAGCTGAGCGTGCCCTTGCACAGGAGCAGAACTTGCATCAATGTGCTGAAAGGAGAGCCGAGGAGGCCAGAATTGCCATGCAGAAGATGAGAGAAGCTAACATCCAAGAACAGAGGAGGGCAGCAGAAAGAGAGGAAGAGTTGCAGAGACAGCTTGTTGATGCTCAGGAAGTTGCTGAAAACAGAGCCGAGGAAGCCAGAATTGCACTGCAGAGGATGAGAGAAGCTCAGGCAGAAAGGGAGCAAGAGCTACAGAGGGAGCTACATGATGCTCGGGAAGCTTTACAACGTGGTGTTGTGCCCACTCCTGGTCAGCCTCTGACTGACATAACTCCATGGAAGATATCAAGAAACGACGTTCGTCTTATGGGTGAGATAGGAGTGGGTGCCTGGGGTACCGTTGCTAGGGGGATGTACAATGGTCAGCAAGTAGCAGTCAAGTATCCCCACCAACTGATTCTGAATGAGGACACTCTGAGACGACTCGAGAGGGAAACAGAGCTCATGACTCAAGTCCGCCATCCCAACCTTATCCGAATCATTGCCGCTGTGTTTGACGAGCACTCATTCCGACTCCATGCCCCTCCAATGATCATCACCGAAATCTGTGACCTCAACCTCCGACAGTGCTATGAACAGAGACGTCTCGCAGACACCGACAATCTCCCAATCTTCAAAGATGTGGCCTACGGCCTCCACTACCTCCACGACCGTCACGAACCAATCATCCACAGAGATCTTAGTGCTCCAAATGTCCTTCTCCAGGCCCTTCCCAATGGGACCTAGCTTGCAAAAATCTCTGACTTTGGCTCTGCTAACCTGGCCAGGCTCTCCAGAACAGCAGGCGAAGGAGCCATCATCTACACTGCCCCAGAGTCCTTCCCCCAGACTGACCCGACAGCCAAACGCGTCATCCATACAACTAAAATTGACGTCTACAGCTATGGAATCCTATTATGTGAGGTGATCACTGCTAAGATGCCTGATCCTGAGCGGTATCTTGATAGACTGGAGGAGGTGAATCAAGTATCGGCTGATATGCACCATCTCATTGTGTGGTGTACCAAGCGCAGTCCAAAACAACGACCCACCATGACAAGTGTCCTTGATGAACTGAGCAAGATGCCGCAGCCACGATCTTAGAAAACTGTATTTCGCTATAATTATTGTATTGTGTAATGTGTATCTTGCATACAAGTTTTCGACTGACCTAAGTATAGTTAAAGTATCGGCGCGAGTACTCCGTTGGGCTTGGGGAAAGTTCTCGAAGCTCATGTAACACTCACGCTGTGCGCTCATGCTACATGACCTTCTCGAACTTTCCCCAAGCCCAATATTACTTAGAGTACGAGCAAAGACGGTGTATGCTTCAACTGGTTTGTAGTACTTTAACTGTGTGAGACTGTGTTCCACAGGAATGGATTTCCAGAGCAGCATTAAACCATACATATATATTATCGCCGTGACAACGAAACCAAAAGGAATCCAAGCCAGAGAAATTGCTGCTGCTTTCCACGTTCTCTCCGAGTCTTTGGCTTTATCGCACTCCTGTTGGGCATCAGTGTGTTGTTGCTAAATTTGTTTCTTTATATCGGCAGCCCTTGCTTCGTCTTCTTTAAACTCCTTCACCTCCTTAATAATTCCATCCTGTGCTTGATCAAACCGGCCTGCCAGGTCTCGGGACCAGGCTGCAATTATCTTGAAGCAGCGGGCTTAATCTCCTGCCTGCCTCCCAAGAAGAATCAACATTTCTCGTGGATCATCCACGTCATCAATATTCTCGAAAAGAGCTATAGTTGAATCTAATCACTGGTTAGACACTCTCTTTGCCACTGAAACAGTGTCAAACGATATTTGGCATAATAGAGGCGAAAAATACCATCCCTATCTTTACCAACAATTGTGGCAAGAAAAAGATAATTAATATTATAAGGGTGGTGTCATGTATATATTTTATGCAACTATGGCATGTAACAGCACCTTACTAATTCATTCCTTCTTTGTGGTCCGATTCCACTTCATATAATTTTATGTATAATAGTCATTCCTGACATAAAAGTGAACCTCCATTGTGTAACTAAGATTACTGCCACTGTATTCTGTTGGCAAAAAGAATACAGTGATTGTGATAAAATATGGAGGAAAGGGCTCGTCTGTCGTGTTCCATCAGGCAGCTGGTATATGCAGCAGTATGTGCACTAGCAATCCTAGCGTATTTGCAAGTTGCACCTTGGAACCATGAAGATTGGGAAGACTGAGATATATACAGCCTTAGCCTCGTCCCCAGGCCCCACACCCGCGAGGAGAGGGCCTGGTATCCACTGCTTGCGCATGCGCGTAATTTTCAACGCGGGTGTAGCGCAACTACGTCAAGACCAAATTCAAATACGTTGGAATGAAAGCACTAAAGTGCAAACCCTCGGCGAACTACGCATGCGCGGTAACGCTAATGTGGGCTGGGCTATTGGCAGTCTCCTGCTAGTAGCTCGCGGAGAGTCTGACACGGGCTACCCACGGTAGTAGATAGCACGCGGGAGTCGATACACGCCCTTCGCTGTGGCTTCTTGTGCCTCCAAGGTACACAGAGCAAGCGGATCAGGTCGAGTTGATCGCGCCTAATATACGCATGCGTACCGCTTATTGATGGGTTGGGCCACGCAACGCGGTCCGCGACCGTGCCAGTTTGTCGCTCTTGAACGCAGTCGTTTCAAGAAAATCGCCTTTTTAATTTTCTGGATCGCGTAGTTCTGAAGCCGCTGGTATCACTAATGGGCCGCCTCGTAGCCTGTAGTGCCAGAATAAGCGTCGACACACACACACACAGACAGACAAACCAACTACCGTAACCCTCGCTGCGCATGCGCGCCGAGGGTTAATAAGGATCCCTACTACGCTAGCTCACGTGGAGTATGCAAAATGTAGCTGGCTCCTGTGTGTGTCGCAGTCGATCCTGCTCAGCTTGTGGTCCATCACGAACGGCAAAACCTCGTAGCAGAGAGATTTGCCAAACCCGGTGGGCAGCCACACAAAGACATCTCGGTATATTGAGTGTATAGCTTTTCTTTGCTCAGGTTTGGCGTGATGCTTGGAGTTCCAAGCGGGCGTATTGAAAAGCGCGATCGAACTCGCCATTGTCGGCGGTGCCGCCGTATTTGGCCGTTTGGACTGACCCCACCCACTCTCACCGAAAATTGCAGCGCATGCCGTCGAATGGAGGAGAGTTCTCTGGCTGGCTAGATCGATCGGCGCATACAGCGAGGCACCGTGTAAATTTGGAATTTAGTTTCGGATAAAAAGAAGCGCGTACAAAGCCGCGCATGCTCGCCAATAAAAACTTAAGCCTCCGCGCACGCGTGTAACATATGATTAGCAATTCAACGCATGAGGAAGTGTACGGTCTTTAGAAAGAGGTCAAGCCGAAAATACTACTATAGTCACGCGGCGACGGTGTTGACCTCTGTAGCGTCATGCAAGGCTCCTTGCTTATGTATTATTTGTTGCTAACATTATTTCGTCTTCAGATGAATGAAGTTCTAAGCTGTGATTTTGATGACATAGACTGGCAATACTCTCGCTTATTGCTCAAACTGGAAGAGGCTCTTCTTGAAAACAAAACTGTAATAAACTTGCTGAGAGAAAAGTTCATGAACACAGAAGTTAATGTTCAACTGGAAGTTTTGAATGGAAATGCCCTCTCTATATAGTACTTGCGATATTTCCCATCATCGTAATTATTATCCCTATCGTCCTTTCAATACATTTTGTCCCTCTAATTCCCCGGACCACAGATGGAAACTGTGCCACCTTCCTGATGACTATGGTCATAACAATACTCTCCAAATGACATATCTTTTTCCACCTCCACATTACATAGAATCAGAAAGAGGTGAAAAAAACAGCCTTGTTTTTACCGCAATTGCGTGGCTATCTCTGCTTCATGGAAACTTTCCGTACTTTGGTATTTTTGTAACCACTGGGCAGGATTATCCTTATTCTTATGATGGATTGTTTCCTGGTACCTCAGTTTCAATGGCAATGGTGATGGAGTCTCTGCCATGCAGTAAATTGGGATCAAACCTGTGACATCACACTATATTA